ATTAACTCTATCAGGGGAAAATGTTAGCTCTGACAGATCCCCACAAATTCAAACTACTAAAGTAGTTTGAATCTATTTTTATAGAATGGTTAAAACTTTGATCAAGTGTCATCCATCTGACCTTGACAATTTGTTGTATTTTTCCATTTTTATTTCGACTAACTAATCACTCAATTGCACTAGCAAAGGAAAGAATGAATAAACTACAGATGTGGAGCAACTTAAGTCTGAGTTTTATTCAGATAAATAAAGTGGTGTCTGTAGAACACAAACTTTGCAAAAGAGTCTAAAGAAAGAGGATGTTACTGTTTTTTCACAGGTGTTTCACATGGCAGGGCCAGCTGACTCTGATCTGAGAAGCATCTAGTCAAAAAGAATGAGGAGACAGGGGACACTGCAAAGAGAAATTAAAACATTAAAATAGTGTCGCTCAGGCAGCCACCTGAGAGACATCATCTGAACAAAACATACATCCTCAAAGTCTTCATCACTCTCCAATGAAGAACTCCTGAAACATGGTTAAATTTAGCTAGTTCAGAATTATCTAAGTTGTGTTTAGGCAGACCATGCATATGGAAGAAATGGGGACATTTCTTGATGTCTCTTGACTAGGTTCTGGCATCTGACAGATTACACTTTCTATGTATGGTACATCTCTTTTTTTCCCTTTCCCAAAAGTAAGCAAATGAGAGGAGTGGGAAGAGAGCAGCAGATAGAGATAGGTCTTTGTGGGGTTAGGATGGCAATCTGATGGTTGCAAGATACTCAATATTTTGGTCTCCCCATTTTAATATAGAAACCAAAGGATAATGTGTCTGCATTATCCAGCACTTGGGAAAATGCACACATATACCGTAATATGAGCATGGATGTATATGGACACAACCAGGAAAAAAAATCCACAGGTGACAAATAAGAAGAAGAGATAGAATCATTTATCAATCCATTTCAAAATATATTGTATGGATAAACCAACTTATAAAGGGAGTATCAGCCTTCTCCATATACTGCTGTGGCAAGAACTTTCAGCAAGACTCAAAGCTTTGACACATACCTTTTGGACACAGTCTCACAACAGAAAACCTGGGGGAAGCCTTGCACTTGTTCAGTTACCCTGGCCAAGGATGGCAAGTTAGAATTATAAATAATTTTTCCAGTTGTATAAAGTGAGTAAATGCTTTTTTCCATGCAAAGTAAAAGAAATAAGGTATCTCCCTGCACTTAGAACATGTAAGTCTGGACAAAGAACAATATATTTAAATAACCATCGCAACATTTCCATTCCATATTTCCTGCAAGTGTTTAAATTAGTTTCAAGGTGAATGTACCTACATATAAGGACTACAAGATGCTTTACAACAGAAATACTTAAGGGATTATACACGATTGCTGGAAAATACATTTCCAACACACTGCATGGACCAACAGAAATCCAATGTACTAAAATGACAACAAAGATAATGACTTGTTTTCCTTGCTGTGTTGCTATCAGATGGAAAATGTATCCAGTCAGAACATGCTAAAATAAGCAGTATTCTCTACAGCTTTACTTAGCATTTTTACTTCTAAAATGTAACCCTATGAATGTACATCAGGGGTTACTCTGTGTGTAATTAATTGAAGATTAGAGTGCTGTTTTCAGTGCATCTCCAATTCTGGAAGTTTTCCCTCAGAACACAGAAGATGTTGCTATATTAACTGATATACAAGGCCAGCAAAAATAAAGTCCACCTATTTCAGATACTTAGTGTTCCCATTTCATCATTAGGAAGGACACAGGACCATCTCTTACTATTAACATTTTATACAATTTGAACAAAAACTGTGAACTTCCTCAACAATTTGAAAAGAAAAATACTATTAACAAAAGTTCTATAGACTCTTGTTATTCTTTGTGGCTATATGCAGTCTCTCTAGGTTCAAAGAAACCATGCCTCAGATTGCTAGATCTTGGGGAAGAGTAATAGAAGTGTTTGTTCTATTTCCTTTATGTTCTGCTGATGGGCTTTTTTTGACCATTGTAGAAATAAGATATTATTGACTAGCCTCTGACCTGTACTAGCAAGGATCATCTTAAGCTCTTATAAGTTTATGTGTGTTTTCACGCTTCTCAACTATACTGAATTCAATACTTTGATATATTTAGAAAAAAAGCAGGATTACGTTCAAGTTTTCTATTTCAACAAATCAGTACCATATACTGTATTAACTGTATTTTAAAATTTCACTACTTATTTTTATTTTGGACTCTTTTCTTCCCATGCTTCTTGCTTCACTGATCATCAACACAATGGACAAAATCCTGTTGGTGTAAATTTACACTGGCATAACATGGATCAGGCACTGGAAAGATTTAATTTAATTTAAACTATCCCCATTTTGGAAGTCCTAGGATTTATTGGTGTGTGTGTGTAAAAAAGTAAAAAAGTGCCACCGAATCACCACTGGCAGTCCTGATCCCAGTGAGTGATTTTTAAAACTATTACAGGATCCCATTCACACCATGTTCTGAGGCTCCCAAAGTCTTCCTTAGAGTGAAAAAGGAGCTATAGGGAGTCTTGGGACCTGAAAGCAGGGAGAAATATGAAGTTTACCATTCGTTTAAATACTTCTGGCACCCAGTCTGGGTTATGCTGGCATAAATTTTACACAACAGGATCTTGCCCACTGTGTTGTTCTAGAGAAAGCAACAACTAAAACTAAAAATTAAAATATTCTGTTTTTTCCCTTAAATTTCACCACTAGCTATGTCTTACCATGTTCAATTCTTTAAAATAATTGTCTTCTTTCTGATTCACTTCCTACTTTGGTTCTCATTCTTATTTTGTCCCAATCTGATTCCTCTAATTCTCTTTAGGTCGGATTATCTCATCCTTATCTCAATACTCTTGAGTTCTGCTGTGTACTATATTTTTTATGTATGAAAAGATAGTTTCTCTGACACAATGTTATCCTCCTTAGATACCTTTTCTCTCTCAAAACCAATTTGCTACTTATTTTCAAAACTCATTTTCTAGTTTCAGATAATCTTTTATCTCCTATTTCTTTATGTACTGCTTGATCTCCATTTTCTAATCCTTTGCTGCTTTTTAACACCCCACCTGGATTCTTTCTATTGCATGTTTTTATGCTTCCCTCTTTCTTGGCATCCAATATCTATATAACTGATTCACTTCTTCTGGCCTTCCCATGTAGTATTTTTTATTTTCAATTTTATTTCTTTCTACATTAAAATGTAAGCCACTTGGGCAGAGTCTGTGTATTTTTATTTTTATTTTATTTGGTCTTATTTTTTGCTGTGTATGAAATCACATTTTCAGACACTTCACAATAGCAATAACAACAATTATTATTGTACTTTTCATTAGCATTTTATATATTTTAAAACCTGCTTTAATTAGATGAATATTTTCCTTATAGCTTTTTATGTAACAACCATCCTATTCTTTCCACAGAAGTGTAGAAAGTACTCAAAATGGATATGTGACATTCACCTCTCTGATGAAAGGGAATTACTTCTTGGTTAAATAAATACAAAAAATATGGGCAAACTGGGATGTGGTAACTGTTCATTGAATTTAATTATTATTACTTGAGCCAGTTATTTGAATACTTTCTAAAATCTTGAACAAGAAGTTCAGAAATATGAACACAAAATGAGACTGAAGCTACTTGTATGAGAAACATTTCAATCTAATAGGAAAGAAGTCCAGTTGCCATAACTCAACTTCCAGATAACTTCACCTGGATGACTAAGAATCTTCACAGGTATATGAATAAAAAAACCCCTAATATTTTCTTATGTAAATACGTTACATACGTTATCACAGCCTCTTGAGACTGAAGAATGCCTACTATTTACTCATGTTTGATTGCATCCATACTGGAATCCATTACTGCTGCTGAGGTACTATTTTTCTACAAGTAGCTGGAAATAAGTAAAATATGAGTCCCAGAACTTGATACAGAACTTTCAGTCTTTCCCATGACCAAGATTTCTTTTATAATGTTTTCTCACAAGAACATTGTGTTCAGCGAAAGTGCTTCCCAACATTGATTAAGAGCTTCCTGGTTACAGGTTCTGACTATTTTATTACTTCATATTCAGTGGAACTGGAGGATTAGTGAATTGTACATTAATCAGTCAAGTTCCTTTCTTCAAATGATGCTATAATTATTTGTTTCATTTCATTTTCTGTAGTGAAATAACGTCCAGGAAAATTTTTTATTACTCCCTGAATAATACCAGTAGTTCTTTGTCTATACATATTGGACAAGACAGCATTACAGTAATGTTTTCACTACCCTTGCTACTGTTCCCATGTTTCCTCAAGTCTGATGGACATGGAAAAAAACCCCCAACACAAAACAGAATATAATCTGACAAGGTTAATAACCACATTCTGTGAAACCAAATTAGTACCATTCTCAGATTAGGTGTCATTGTTAGCATATTCATTCTACATTTTTCTATGAACCTCATACAGACAAATCCACCATCTGATATTATCTTTCAGTCTTTTCCATATGAACGCTGATGTATAAATATCGTCACATAACTGCATGTGCTCATGCAACAACTGGCAACATGACTATGAGCAGTGCAAGCACACACAAATGAAAACACAAACACATATAGCAATAGATAGCATATTCTTTAACAACAGGGTTTATCTGGGAGTTTAAATAAAGAGTCATATATCTCTGCCCTTCTTATAAGGTTTCTTATTCCCAAAGCAAGCCTGTTTCATTTAAAAATAGTCATGCTGAGATTTTTAAGAAAATGAAACATAGTGTAAACATCCTCACTGCAGATGAAATATTCTACTTTGTAGTTGTATAATAAGGGCAGAGTATGCAATGTTGGCAAAGGAGTGGATGAAACATTCTCCATGCATGCCTTAATTCTGCCATCTCAAGCAGCAGCAGGAAAGAGCAATAAGCTTGGAATGGAATACACCTTAAAACATAGCACACAGTGGGGCTGAGCCCCATCTCACCTGGACTTGTCTGAAAGGTTACATTCGAGCTGACTGTATCATTCCCTTTGGGGAAAACACGCACTATATACTTCTCCCCGGGAGTCAGGTTATCCAGCTCCACATAGGCTTTAGCAGGGGAATATTTCACTGTGGTGTTACCTGAGAAACAGAAACCTCACATCAAAGGCAGCTAGCAGGGAAAAGAGAGATTACTGTGTTGGCAAATTCCACTAACATCAAACTAGCCTACTGAATTGACACATGTCCCTGCTGATGACAAGACTGAAAAGAGGAACATATCAGCAGGGTGAACATCCAGGCACCACCATTGTAAAGGTCAAGGGTCAGTCTACAAAAGCATTGCAAATCAGCTCATTCCACTGGTTTTTCTAGCATCATAGGTTTTCTAGGATCACTTAACTAACCTAATTGAGCACTTGTTTCAATATTCTTAGTCTGCAACCATATGGAAGATTCTCTCACTCCTGGTTCAATGATTTCGTACAAAACCAGAAGTGCAAAAAAGTCTATAGAAAAAGAAAGAGCTACAAACTAAATAATCTCTGGGAAATCTTTTAAGAGTGAAGGATTATTATATTTCTTATGTAACCTGCAGTTGCCAGATGTATTGAATCAGTAACAACAACAATGCTTTCTCTGTGAGCACCCTTACGACGGATTAGAAATTCCTTTCCTGGTTCTTTACTATTCTCAGTATGCTTTGTAAATGGTGAAAGAGAAAAGTCACTTCTGAATTGTAAGACCATGCAGACTAATCGCAATATTCAACTATATTAAATAATATTAAATACACATTGTTAATATCATTGACACTTAGTGTTGTTTGCCTATCCTCATGTATCAAACCCTACAAAACTACAGTTATTCTTGTAGGATGGGAATTTTAGTTAAACTCTTGGATGAGTTATTAGCACAATCTTAGCAAATTGTGTGACATGGAATGTACATGGTTACAAAAGTAGTTAAATCCATATATACACTTCTGCTAGTACTGGCTAACTTATGAGTCCACCAGAAATCAAAATTTAAAGTCACTGGAGTCATTTACGGCTTGTCCATGCAACAGGTGTTTACATATCTGATTTATCTTTCTACTATAAACTAGAAGCACGGGGAGCATCCCAATGAATGAAACATTCTCACTACAATGCTGTAGTGGCCAGTTATGGGCTGCAAAGGAATGCTCCAAATAATTGCCAAGCCAATGGCAAGACATTTGTCAACAGCAGCAGACATTACATGCTTTATATTCAACCATTCTAGGTGCAATTCTCAAGGGCCCTATTGCTCATTTTAAAAAACAGGCATGTAGTAATACATAAAGGTTTGGAGCCAGCATCAAGAATAATGAATATGACTTGGCCCAGCAAACTAGAACCATGAAGAGCATACTTAGGGCAGATTCTTAATTTGCCTAGAGGACTATAAAGCCAGATGGCACTAAACGTTTAACATAACATAATTATTTGAACATTGCATATCGTCTCCCAGATTTAAGCAGGACAAAGGAAAGGAAAGGAAAGGAAAGGAAGGAAGAAAGAAAGAAAGAAAGAAAGTAAGAAAGAAAGAAAGAATGAAAGAAAGAAAGAAAGAAAGAAAGAAAGAAAGAAAGAAAGAAAGAAAGAAAGAAAGAGGGTGGACAATTAAAACCTTAAAATATTTGTATTTGATAACTTTGGACACTGCTCATTGAAAAATGTTGGTATGATTTTTCTGCACAGCTGCACCTGTTTAGGTTTTTTTTGTGGGTGGGGGGAAAGCGGCAATCCAAAAATGTAGTCATTATTGTTTATCTCTCAAATCTGTTAGAGCTGGATCTCTATATCTGCATCTTTGTTTTTATAGCTCTCCTGTTCTGTGAAATACTGCAGCCACTACAGAGCATGTAGATGTTTTAGAGTGCACTGATCTGAAACTTCTACACTGAAGGGAGAGGAAGGCAAATTGAATTCAGAAGAATAGCAACATAAAACACAGTGAACAAATTAAACACCATGCTTTCCCCCATACCCCCAAAACAACACCCCATGCACAAATTAACCAGCAAGTTTAGTTACACTACAATTAACATGGCATGAAAGGTCCATTAAACCTCTGAGAGATGACAGGATCTCTGGTGGCATTAAGGACCCTGCAGCATTCCCGTGCTCCCAATGCTTAATGTTGATATACTCAACCACAAACTCAGTTTCAGGATCAAACGTGTGGTTCCAGGTGATGTTTGCCCAGTTACTGTTAGGTGAAGCTTTTACGTCCCAGATGGACTGCTTTCCAACACCAGCTGGTGAACAGGTTAGAACAGAGATTAGTAAACTGGATTATATATTTAAAATAAAATGGTGCATTAGAATATCACAGTATTTAAAACAGAATATAAGCAAGATACTCTAACGCAGACAAAGAAACACCAAATATAATGCACGAAAGGTTTTGGAGTTCTAGCAGTATCTCAAAAGGATAATGCATAAAGAAAAAAACTTGGAATGCCACTTCAAATAAAGGCTGAAATACTGTTGCTTAGTGTAGTATGTTGAGGTACGTTGCCCTAGAGCAGACCTACTGAATCAATGGGGATTTGGTGAGTCAACTCCTCCACAAGTTCCAGTGATTAGCCTAAAGTAGTTGCAACTTACTGTGCCAAACTAAGTCATAACTAGAGTTAGGTGCATTTTAATCAATATAAGGTATGAAGGAATTGACTCACCAAATCCCCACTGATAGCCTAGTATAGTGCAATTTACTATGCTAAGCAACAGGATTTCAGTCAATATATCATTAGAAGCACTTTCCTCATATAAACTGTACGTGGCATTTTTAAATATAAAGTTTTATGTATACAAAGCTCTTTATCAATAAATCACTTTTTTAAAAAAAAAAAACTACACTGATTTTAATGCAAGTGATTAACCATAACCATTCTGTACGGTGAACAATTTGGGAGGTAGAACAGCATTTTCAAAATGGCTATGGAAAGTGGATCTTCCTGCCAGTCAGAAAGATACATTTCATAAAGTGAGATGTACTGTATCTTATTCCTTACAGTACAATGTTTCCCAGCCTTACACTGACAGTTACTCTGTGAAATCAGAGATCTTAATTTTTTGCAAGACATTTGCTTCTTTAGGTCCTTGTTTTGGAAGGTTAATATATCTCAATTCATATCTTTCTCTTTGATTTTGCCAAAGCTGAAAGAACAGAGATTCAAGAGCAAATTGGAGAACCAACTGTCAGATTTGCTTTGCTTTGGATCCCTACATTGAGCAGGGGGTTGGACTTGGTGGCCTTAAACGCCCCTTCCAACTCAATTATGATTCTATGAACAGAATGAAAGGCAGACCTGTGCATGTTCGAATGACCTGGACACTGAAGAATGAGAAGTTTTAATTTAGAGTTCTCAATTCTTCACAGTCTAGATATGAAAGGTACTTCAGCTAATTTCTATTGGTTCACATAGCTAAGAGGATCCAGGATCCAAATGAATCTAAAACTGGGCAGATGTGGGCTGTGCAACTGAATTCCCAAGATGAATATATTTAGAAATGATTATCTTCTGGTGGGGAAGACATACAACTTTCCTTGGGCAATATTCTTCATCTCTGTTTGAGCACTGCAGAATTTAACTGAGATAGAAGTGTTATTTTGATAATCCCTAAGTTATCTTAGTTACACATCAAGAGACTTGAAGAACATAGCAAAATATTTATAATAGGCAGAGAACTGTGTTTATTTATACTCTGAAATATTAAATCCAGGACTTGTATTTGACCATGCAGATAAAATAATAACTTACAGCTTATTTAGTTTGGTCCACATCTGAGTTTTTTCAAAAAGACTGCTGATGCCTAAGACATTACAAGCTTAGCCACAGTATCTCCTGTTAGTCTCTTTCAATATGGAAAGAGTTTCACTAACACTGAGATGTTCAGTTCTACATTGTTCCAACTACGCTGAAATTCAATACAAATCAGTTTACACTTTTTATCTGGCAGAGTGGAGAGGGAGTGCTTATCAATATTTTCTACAGGACACACTGGGAAATAGTGTTCAAAATTGTTTTGTGGCTATCAAGTTGAAGCAATCAAGCAACGCACAGCAGGATGCTGGTCATTCATAGCTTCTCTCTGGCATTCCAGGGTCATGTGAATGCACCCAGTGTTTTTGTAATGAGAATTCTTTGTGCAGTATTTACTTTCACAGTAACTATGACCACTTTATAATGTGGCATATACAATGAAATTATTTTTCCCTTCTACTTTTCCCTTTTACAGTTCAGCTCTCTACAAATATATATATATATTTGTAGAATTATAAATATAATTCCAGCAATACCAGTTTCATTTTAAAATGCTAATTATTTGATATTTTGACCCAGCAATTAGCACTGCATGCTCATTCATGCAACATTTAGGTTAGAGCAGCAGCTGAGAGATCATTACATCAATAGACAAACTGCAAGCCAGGCACCAATTTTGTATCTCAATATTTAGAATACGATTGAGCGCATACCCATTACCTTCAGTGGGATTCTGTGCATGCAAGTCTTTTGAAGCTGGGTTTCATCAAAAGTAAAGGGATTTGCCTTGACACCTCTTCATGAAAGGGAAGCTATTGCAAGCTGTTAAGATATACACTGTAAATAGCATAAGGCACTATCGGCAAGATTTGAGTTGGAAAATGGTTTCTTTGAGTTTTCCTATTTTATTTCTCCACAGTTGATGTAGACTCGGTGGAATATCATGTCAGAAATGTTGGCATGTGTTGCAGCCTCTGTGCAATAATGTCAGCCTCTCTAATGGGAGCATGATGAAGCAGTCAAGTAAGTGAATTAATCAGATTACTGCTTTTACTATGCTTGGGGTATAGCTTTCTTTCTTTCTTTCTTTCTTTCTTTCTTTCTTTTGCATTGCACTGTGTGGATCAGAGCCAAACTAGTTTGTTAAATACTGGACTCTGTTACCATCTACATTTATAACATTACCTGATTATGTTAGCCTCTGCAAAGAAATTGACATTTTTCCTTCTCTCTTCAGAAATGAAATAAGTGCTCCTATTTCTTTTTATGTTGAAGGAGGCATCAATTTAAATTGCATTTATATTTAGTTTTAGCTAAATATGAGTTTTCTCTGTATACTTGCAATTTAAAATGGTTCCAGCAATGTTTCCATGTGTTTTCATTGCTACATAATAAAAGTTAAGACCCATGAAGCTTGCAGGCCCAGCTTTTGGCATGCATTGATACTTCTTAATAGCAGGCCTCCTCCAAGCTCCCTGAAATGTCACCTTTGAGATTTGGGATAGTAAGAAGATACTTTTGGTAGAGCAAGAATCATAAAATGTTTTGCATGACAGGAACTGTGCCTTGGATCTTGAATGGAAGTTGTCAGTTAAATTGCCAACAATGTGTGATGCATTTTGGAAAGATATAATTCTTGGGCCACAGTCAGACATCATCCTTGGTTATCCATGCACAAAAATAAGCCAAACAGATGGCATTTGGGCATGCACACATATGATAATAATGCAGCAGTGTTCACAGGAATAAAATGCCATTTGTAGTACTTGGTGTTCAGTGACTGAAATTGGATTATTGTATTATATCTCTATGAGGCACCTTTCAAAGTGAGATTTAGGGAGCACTCATGTTGGATACTGTGGGGCATTTTCATGGCCCTGTTCACTCAGTCAGTGTTTGGCTTTTACAGCATGTCTGTCTTAGTGAAGAATGCACCTAAAATTCCATTACACGGCAATATAATAAGACCCTGGATGCATAACGCAAAGATTTCTTTTCACGTGCTACAAAGCAATTAGTATAACTCTGAGAACATTTTTGTACTGAATAGTTTGAAAAGCGTCCATACCTTGATACTAAGCATAAAGTATATTGAAAGATCAAGTTATGGTTGAGATAGTTCACATAAAGTAACTAGCAAAACACAGTAGCAGAATGCTCTTTTGTGATACCTATTGTACTAGCAACCACTGTGGTGATAGTTGTGTCTTCTGTAGTGGTTGTAGCTTCAGTAATGGTTGTTGCTTCTGCAGTGGTTGTAGCTTCTGTGGTGGTGGTGGTGGTAGCTTCTGTGGTGGTAACTGTAGTGGCAGCTTCTGTGGCAGTGGCTGCAGTGGTAGCTTCTGTAGTCGTAGGAGCCACAGTTGCAGCAACTGTAGTTTGGTTGCTTGTTGTTGGAGATATTAAAACTGGGAGAGGGAAGTGTAAAAACTACATTTTGAGGAGGATTTATGTACTTAGTCCATTGGTTTTTGTCATTTCTTGAGACTGAATATGCATGCAGGACACAGCAAAATGGATCAACCCACACACAAATCAGGGACTAAACTAACCAAGCAATTTGCAAACAACAAAAGCTCAAATTGTATTTCCCCCCCTTTTTTTTGGCAGACTTTTTTTTAGCCAACAGTGGTTCAATGTGACAAAAGTGGGCCAGTGTGGGAGAGGCTTGGAATCTTTCAAATAAAGGGACATGCAAAAAGCCCTGCAGTCAAACACAGAGTAAACATGCAGAAAAGTGGCAAGAAGTGGGAGATCTTGGCTTAAGACAAATAGTTTCCCACAAGCATTCTATCTGTTGTCAGTTTCTTTTCATTGATTTAATAGGCTGCCTCTCTTAGTTGTTGAGGTCTCTAACCTCTAAAACAAGCAAATGCAAACACAACTGGCATGAAAAACAAATGAAGAGGTACATTCAAAGTCTAAAGGTAACACTTTAAAAAACAAGAGGCAAAAGCATTGCTTCTTATCCCCCACTAAAATGACTTCTATTACTTTCTTAGTGCAACAAATAATGCTGTTGTTTCATTATTGTTATTGCTATCACTAATTTTAGTGATATTCTTCAGTGCAATGGATAACATTGTTGTTGCCCTGCTGTTACCATTACCTTTAATCACATAGGGCTGCGTTTCCACAGAACACGCAAAGTTATTTTTAAAGAACAATATGTCCCTGATAGTCCTTATAGTGTTTTAAAAGTAATCTAACGTGGTTACTATTAAAATACCTTGTTTTATTATTTACTGTACTGCTCATACTTAACATGATTTTTTTAAAAAATGGTTCAAATTCATAACTGAATGGCATGAACCCTGAAAAAAATCACACCAAAATGTATCTAAAAATGTATTAAATTGTCCTTTAAAAGTTGTATTGGAAGTAAAAAGAAAACTTTAATAATCACACCAATAAAATAACTTAATTCCTTGTCATTGCACCAAGTCATTGTACAATTTTTAAAAATTAACTTATTAGTTTTACGTACATCAAAATTAATTACAACACTTCCTTCAGTTACTTTACAAAACACACATCGGAACTACAAGCTACTAACCTTGAAGTCGAAACATAGTTTCTGCCTATCTACGTCCATCATCACAAAATCCACATCAGAGCATGAGACAGCAATACCAGCCAATACTTGCATCATGTGACAGTCCCTCTTCACTAGTTAGTGAAGATACATATAGTTATGAGTAATTAAAAAGTCATAGTTAAATGAGAAAATTAATTGTTATAGTTTGTATTTTAGTATAGTATAGTAGAATGTGTTTTTTACGTTTGTTACTTTAAAAAGGAATTAATTATAAATAACTTACAACGTTGCTTCAAAGCACTGGACATGGATTCTATACCCTGTGGCATAAATGTGGTCATGCTGGTCTCTAGAGCACTTGGCTACCTAACTTCATTCCCTGGAAAGAATACGATGCTGGCTTTTGGCAGCATGAGGAAACCCAACTCTTATACTGGCAGAATTATATTAGGGAGGAAAAGAAGGAACAAGGTTGGACATGGATGAACAGAAGCATCTTTGGCACACAGAGGCCTTCCAAGGATACAAGCACCCACTTAAATTTAACATATTTTACCCTGCAATCATAGTTCAGCGATAGTAACCTGTCTGCATATTTCCAATTTACTGGTGAGACAAGAGTAAACCTAAGTAGGGATGTAAGGCATGCTCATCTAAATGTATGACACAAAATAGACACAGAAGGCGGCAAAGGCAAGATAAATTGTGATAAATGCTTTTCCTTAAGTGAATCTAATATTTTTGAGTAAAATCAGTTTTCAGCCCTTGTAAGTGTTTCATTCTTATATACAAGGGATACCCAGGAGCTCATGGTCTAAACCAAAGAGGGTGAATGAGAGCCCCCACCCCCTTCTTAAACTACAACCACTTCTCAATCTCTGTGAAGCTGGGAACACAACAGAAAAGGATTGCTCCAGTTCTATCCACTGTACAGATTTTCTATCTTCTTCTAACGTTCTGTGTTGACATTTATTGGTGGTCGTGGTGGTGGGGAGGAGGATATTGTGTTAAAAGGGATCACTGATATAATAAATCTTGTGCTTTGAAAATGGCAGAATCTGGCCTGAAGCAGCCAAGCTTCCTCTAAATAGACAATTAGATTTAAAAACTCTTTACATGATAGGATGTGATCCAATTTATCAAGCATAGCAAAATTAAATTAATGGAACACACCAGGAATTGCATTGCTAAGGCACTTCCCCACTGACAGCTTTCAGAATGTTTCCCCTTAAGCTTTGAAACAGAAAAAAATGTAAAACTGATTTTTCACACCTTGCATTTCCAAACCATTTCATTCAGAGAAGATTTCCGTGCTTTGGATTTAAAAATAAACAAACTCAAAGCATATTATCCTTTCCTCTCTCATATCCCTATGTTAAAGGAAAAGAGTGGTTTTAAAAATTAACTATATACACAAGATAAGGAAATATAGCTCCTTGAAAAGAGATGAAATGGCAGACTGAGGATACTGAATGATTTTGAAAGGATCAGCCTGCCATAGCATCAGCACTGCATGATTGTGTGTTCAGAATTCTTGGCAAGGCAAACGGAAAATGGAATTTAAGGCATCTTTCAGCCTTGCCTGCACGCTCCTTAGGGTCAGGGCCTGTATCTCTAAAGAATATAAATGGGAAGAGAAACAGTGCTTTTGGCAAATGACACTGTAAATGGGTCCTTTTGTTAGTTGACTCTGAGTGAAACAAACTGGTTTGGGGTTAAAGCAGGAGGTCAGACTATATGATGAAAATGGAACCTCTCAGCTTTGAAAACTCTAACTAGCCTGGATGGTTTTATCGTATTGCTTCCCAGGCAAAATTCTCTGGAAAGCTCTGGCTGTTTCATGGGAAAAATTGTGAATAAAATTTGCTTTGAGCCAGATAACTCTACCCTTTTCTTCCCATGCATCCTCTCCAACACATATAGACCTGAATCAAGTTGGTAGTTTTAACTAGATTAGACTGCTTGTATCAGTGGTATTTACTTACATGTTGTCTCACTACTGAGCAACTGCATTTACTCTACTTGGGAACAGAAACTGGGTTCAGGCCATGATTTCTTCCTTTGGTAGTTGTAGGTTTTTCGGGCTCTTTGGCCATGTTCTAAAGGTTGTTCTTCCTAACGTTTCACCAGTCTCTGTGGCCGGCATCTTCAGAGGACAGCACTCTGACATTTTGCCGGCCACAGAAACTGGCGAAAGGTTAGGAAGAACAACCTTCAGAACACAGCCAAAGAGCCTGAAAAACCCACAACAACCATTAGATCCCGGACATGAAAGCCTTTGCTAATACGTTTCTTCCTTTCTTCCCCTTTCTTTTTGCTTTACTAAAGATTAGAACACTCAAATTACAGCTCACCCAGTGACCTAATATTACAGCATTTCATTTCCAGGATTTCAAAACATTATGCTTTGTCAAACTCATAATATAGTAAAACCAAGGCTGCACAATTCAATCAATCAACTCAGGGAGAAGGGGAAAAAAAAGCTACAACTGGCCATATTGACTAGGAGAATCTGTGAGCTGAAGTACAAAAACGTCTTCCAGGTTCTGGCAAAGACTCGCCAGCTCTTTCCTCCCTGCATCAAATCTGACTAAACAGAGTTTGTTCTTTTCTATATACATTCAAAATCAATTTGTTATGAGTGGAGCAAAGACTAACTTTGATGATAACAAAAGAAACAAGCAACAGTTGAGAGTGATTTTCTGAAATCAATATTAGCAAGTCTTTAATCTTGAACAATTCCCCCATGAAGCCACACTGCTTCTGATACCTTAATTTAACAAGGAATAATATTCACAAATTCAGTGGAGAAAAAGAGAGCTGTTTTTTTCATTTTCATAGTATAATGTGACTTATTTGTTAAACTGTAAAACTCTCACGCTACAGAAAACCATTTCCTTTCCTTACAATAAGTGCAGGTTCAACTCTAAGTCTGACTTCCCAGACACTACAACCCGAACAAAGCTTTAAATTGTGAGACAGATTTCTTTGCTGCTAACACTCTTGCCATCTCACACAGTTTAATGTAAATAATGGGCTGGCTTAAGTGTTCCTTTCATCATCTAGCTTTTGACCTCCTTGGAGTCCAGATGGGTCATACTCTTCTTTCTTCCCGACAAAGAAAGGGCAGAAAAAGCACAGAAACAGTAAAATGAAAGTGCCCATTCTCATGAATTCCTGTGACAAATGAGGCTTGGGATGAAAGATTAATTAAATACACTTGAGATAATCACAAAAGTTAGCTGAGATACAGATGGTTTCCCTGCTGCTGAAGAAACAAGAGATCCCCATCGTCAAAGTGAGCACTTACAGGTTCACAGAGGTGGATATACATAGGGTATATATGAAAGAGCCTCAACAAAAGATGTGCAATGCTACCTTATTAAAAAAAAAAGAAGACAGAAGAGCAAATATATTTGCTGAGGAACAGTACTTAAAATCTAAAGACATCAAAGACCATCAAAATAGTTCGGCCATATAGATAATCTTGCAGTCTGCTGCTTTCCTCCTATAATAATATACACATGAGAAAAGATTTCAAAAGTATTATATATAAAGACACCAAGCTGCCAACTGCATGTTGATAACTAACAAAATGTTTTCTCTTTAATACATCAGAGCATACAGTCCAGAGAATGGACTGTTAGGCATTTCATAATATACAAAAGAAGAGCAATTAAAATGAAGCCACCCAAACAGGTGAATAGATTATGTCAAACAATACTGAAGGGAAATCCTGTAATAGTGCTATACATATCCAAGGATCAGAAATGGGGGGATCCTAGCATTAATGTTTTACAGAACACTTAAATAAAATATCATTATTACCTTTTTGATTCATTAGTCACTATAAGCAGTAGCTTACTACGG